AAACAGACAGATTCTGTATTTATACCATGTGGGGAAATGTAAGTGATCGTCTGTAGCGAGAGAGCACACATCAACAAACATTTTCCATTCTGAACTTGTGCAGTTGAAGTGTCTTGCCCAAGGACACAACAGAACCATGCAGCCGCAGCACAGACCTCAACCTCAGAATCTCAAATGCATAATCAGAGATCGTCCGTGTCTCAGTGAAAGTCCTGGCGGTGGCTCTTATCTCTGCACTGGTTTAAACGATCAGAGCAGCTGGAGGACTGGGAGACAGCGGGTTTCAAACGGGGGTTCGAGGCCCTCAAACCTCCTCAGTGCATGAGTACAGTCCTGGTGGAGGAATGTACTGTCGCTGGTATCGCTGCATCTTCTCAGGCCTGTTATCTGTTGGTGATCTTAGAGAACGACAGGCAGGCGACACATCTGTGGGGAAAGACATGTGAAATATTTGTCATTTCTGTTTACAAGCCAGTGATAAAAAACATACATATTATCACTGGCTTTTGCTCAAACATGATTTTTCTGTGAATATTAAAGAAGATTTTGTTTGATCAGGTTTTTTGTTCTGGCTGCAGAGGAGCGGGCGGTCTCCAGCTTCGCAGATGAACTTTAGTTTGTCAGCTCTAGAGACGATCGGAGCCGGAGCCGAGAAACTCTGTATTTTCAGGTGGATTTCATTATTAATAAAAAAATGAAGCAGCAGAGTTTGAAACAGAGTCACGGGGGAAGAGTCGAATAAAAGACAATTATTGCATGATTTGATAGTTTTCAAAGTAAAGTAAAGTCATTCTGCCTTTGCAAACTTTATGGAGTGTTGGAAATAAGTTCAAATTCTAAATTCGGAGGTTTTCATACAAGAAAAAGCATCTTGAGATTGTATTTTTAGTTTATATTTCAATATGAAATGTCCAGAGTAGAGTAGAGTAGAGTAGAGTAGAGTAGAGTCAAAAATTACCATGACTGTCACCCCCTGCAGGACACTCTCTGCTCTGGAGAGCAGCTTCAGTGACAGATTAATTCACCCTTGATGTGTGAAGGAGAGGTTCCGTAGGTCTTTCCTTCCTGCTGCTGTCAGACTGTACAACGAGAATGTGTAACAGGAACTGCTGAGTCTGCACAAGTGTCACTGATAATTCACTAGTAACTTTGTCACTACTCACTTTACCTGTTATCAGTACTACTACAGTACTACATATCTGATATTTACTGTTATCAGTACTACTACAGTACTACATATCTGATGTTTACTGTTATCAGTACTACTGCAGTACTACATATCTGATATTTACTGTTATCAGTACTACTACAGTATTACATATCTGATATTTACTGTTATCAGTACTACTGCAGTACTACATATCTGATATTTACTGTTATCAGTACTACTGCAGTACTACATATCTGATATTTACTGTTATCAGTACTACTGTATTATTTCATATCTGATATTTACTGTTATCAGTACTACTGCAGTACTACATATCTGATATTTACTGTTATCAGTACTACAGTATTATTTCATATCTGATAATTCTCCCATTCAAGTCACTTTACCTGTTGATATTATTTCTGATGTTTATTCTGCTCATATTCTCATATTCTCCGCTGCTAATGTATAATATAGACATCTGTAAATACTCCGAACCAAGTGCAATTATAGCCCAGAGTTTCTTATTTTATTTTATTCTATCTTAAATTTATTGTCTATTATCTTAAATAATAGACTTTGATGTGTGCGTCTGAGTCTTATTTCCTTTCTCTGCTGTAATGTGCAACGATGACACTGACATTTCTCCTGTGAGACTAATAAAGGTTTATCTTATCTTATTATACCTATGTTTTCTTCTTGTTGGTTTGTGACCTACAGACTGTGACCTACAGACTGTGAACTACAGACTGTGACCTACAGACTGTGATCTACAGACTGATCTACAGACTGTGACCTACAGACTGTGACCTACAGACTGTGACCTACAGACTGATCTACAGACTGTGACCTACAGACTGTGATCTACAGACTGTGATCTACAGACTGTGACCTACAGACTGTGATCTACAGACTGTGACCTACAGACTGTGACCTACAGACTGATCTACAGACTGTGACCTACAGACGTGACTACAGACTGTGACCTACAGACTGTGACTACAGACTGTGACCTACAGACTGTGACCTACAGACTGTGATCTACAGACTGTGACCTACAGACTGTGATCTACAGACTGTGACCTACAGACTGTGACTACAGACTGTGATCTACAGACTGTGACCTACAGACTGTGATCTACAGACTGTGATCTACAGACTGTGACCTACAGACTGTGACTACAGACTGTGACTACAGACTGTGATCTACAGACTGTGATCTACAGACTGTGACTACAGACTGTGATCTACAGACTGTGATCTACAGACTGTGACCTACAGACTGTGATCTACAGACTGTGATCTACAGACTGTGATCTACAGACTGTGACTACAGACTGTGATCTACAGACTGTGACCTACAGACTGTGACTACAGACTGTGATCTACAGACTGTGACCTACAGACTGTGATCTACAGACTGTGACCTACAGACTGTGATCTACAGACTGTGACCTACAGACTGATCTACAGACTGTGACCTACAGACTGTGACCTACAGACTGTGATCTACAGACTGTGACCTACAGACTGTGATCTACAGACTGTGACCTACAGACTGTGACCTACAGACTGTGATCTACAGACTGTGACCTACAGACTGTGATCTACAGACTGTGACCTACAGACTGTGACCTACAGCCTGATCTACAGACTGTGACCTACAGACTGATCTACAGACTGTGACCTACAGACTGATCTACAGACTGTGACCTACAGACTGTGACCTACAGACTGATCTACAGACTGATCTACAGACTGTGACCTACAGACTGTGATCTACAGACTGTGACCTACAGACTGTGACCTACAGACTGATCTACAGACTGTGACCTACAGACTGATCTACAGACTGTGACATACAGACTGTGATCTACAGACTGTGATCTACAGACTGTGACCTACAGACTGTGACCTACAGACTGTGATCTACAGACTGTGACCTACAGACTGATCTACAAACTGTGACCTACAGACTGTGACCTACAGACTGTGACCTACAGACTGTGATCTACAGACTGTGACCTACAGACTGATCTACAGACTGTGACCTACAGACTGTGACCTACAGACTGTGATCTACAGACTGTGACCTACAGACTGTGACCTACAGACTGTGATCTACAGACTGTGACCTACAGACTGATCTACAACTGTGACCTACAGACTGTGACCTACAGACTGTGACCTACAGACTGTGATCTACAGACTGTGACCTACAGACTGTGACTACAGACTGTGACCTACAGACTGTGACCTACAGACTGTGATCTACAGACTGTGACCTACAGACTGTGACTACAGACTGTGACCTACAGACTGTGACCTACAGACTGTGACCTACAGACTGTGACTACAGACTGTGACCTACAGACTCTAGCTGACTACAGACTGTGACCTACAGACTGTGACTACAGACTGTGACCTACAGACTGTGACCTACAGACTGTGACCTACAGACTGTGACCTACAGACTGTGATGACCTACAGACTGTGACCTACAGACTGTGACCTACAGACTGTGACCTACAGACTGTGATCTACAGACTGTGACCTACAGACTGTGACTACAGACTGTGACCTACAGACGATCTACAGACTGTGACCTACAGACTGTGACTACAGACTGTGACCTACAGACTGTGACTACAGACTGTGACTACAGACTGTGATCTACAGACTGTGACCTACAGACTGTGACCTACAGACTGTGACCTACAGACTGTGATCTACAGACTGTGACCTACAGACTGTGACCTACAGAC